GGGAGGTTTGTCCACCGCCGATCCACCCCCCCATCCCTCAGGGCCCCTGTCGACGATCGATCCCATCCGGTCTGCCCACTTCGCTGGGTTGGATCCGCATCGCTGCCGATGTCGGGACGATCCAGTGCAGACCGAGGTTTGCATGGCGTGGCTTTGCATCTTGGCGCAGCCGAGTCGGATCTCGATTCCGTGCCGATGGCGCCCGATCAGACGCACGCTTCGATTCGATCCGATTTCCAGCCTCGGTGCGGGCTGATCCTGGCTTTTCCTCCTCCGCCCCCTCCTCTTCCCAAGGTTCGGAAGATTAACGTTGCGGGCGATATCACCGAGACCTACAGAGATCCCCCGAAGGCGAGAAGTGCACGCGATGCACTTGCCCGTCTTCTGTACGGGCGGCTCTTCAAATGGCTCATCGCGAAAATCAACGTCACGCTCTCGACAGGTGATGGAGCCGTTGAGAGCGACGCCTTCTTCGGCATCTTAGATATAGCTGGATTCGAGATGTTGGAGCAGAATTCGTTGGAGCAGGTCTTTATCAACCTCAGCAACGAGTTCCTGCAGCGGTTTTTCAATATTTCCAGTCGTGCTGCCGCGCATATCCGCCTCCACGCCTGCGGAAGCGCGGCACGGATGCAGCCGTGCTGTGTGGTGCGTTACCTCTTGGGGGCCTCATCTGGCGACTCTCATAGAGATTCTCGGGAGCGTTTGCATGGGGCGCTCCAGAAAAGAAAAAGAGCCTTGGCGTCGAGGATCGAAGGAGTTGTCATGTCTACCTCGGCGGAAGGTCGGCGGAAGTAAAACGAGGCTGCCTCCGCCGGCAGAAACCAGCGGAAGCTCGGCGGAAGGCGGCGGAAGCAAAAGACGTGCAAGAGATGAAAACGTTTTCGGGCGTAAGGTTTCCGAAATCGCCCACATGTACGTGTTTGCCGTCTTGGGTGGTCTTAGGGAGCGTCTGGGACCAGGAGGGTCTTTCAGCTGGCGTGGGTGGGGTCCTGTGTCCGCCTGGCAAGCCGATTCGGTGGACATATCAGGACCTTCGGGGGCCTCCTGGACCGCGAGGGCGTCGTCTCGGGCCGCCCGAGTGCCGTCCTGAGGTTCACTGAAGTCTGGTCTTGGCAGTCACGGGTGGCAAGCCAGTTGTTCGACACAAGGCTGTTCCGTGCGTTGCAGGTTTTTGCGACGCAGCGCCATCTTGGACGGTCCGGCAGCCGTTCAAGGAGAGTAAGAAGGCAATTATGCACCAGTCCAGTTGCGTCTAGAGGCCATCATCGGCAGTTTCTGGCTGGGCTGTCTTCAAGATCTTGCCAGATATCGTACGGGCGGGGATCATATCAGAGTGAGCAGCTCCCCTCGAGAAACAAAGGCTGAGACCTGTTGTTGGAAGGTCAGGAATCTCGGCATCCAGTGGGTGGGGGGCGATAAACTCGGGAGGCAATGAAGGACCCCCTCCGCCCCCAATCTTGCGCTGAGATTACAACGTGTCGAGGTGTCGCTAGGAATCACCGTGGACTTGACGCGTGCCTGCGGCTGCGAAGCGCGGTGGCGGGTTTTTCTTCAAAAGCGAGCAGGCCAGCTATGCCGAGGAGGGGATCGAAGTCAATTTCGACATTACCTACGCGGATAACGTGGACATCATCGAGCTCATCGAGCGACCCGCAGGGATTCTATCCATGCTGGACGAGGAGCTCTCCATCCCAAAGGCGTCGGATCAGACCTACATCGCCAAGGTGCTCAAGGCGCACGGAAAGCACCCCCGGCTGATTGCCCCGAAGTTCTCTGGCACGCTACAGTTTGGAATCCGGCACTTCGCCGGCAACGTGACGTATTCTTGCGAAGGCTTCCTCGAGAAGAACGACGACAAGTTACCAGACGACGCGGTCGAGTGTCTGCGGAAGTCGGAGTTGACCGTTTTGCAGGAGATCGCAGAGGCGGTGTCCGCCGAAGTGATCAGGACAGCCGAATCTTCACAGAGATGTCGAGATGGGTTTCCCCTGGAAAGGTAGACCAGGAAAACAAGAGGCATAAACTAACCCAGAGGACCGCTTCCCCTGCGGAAGAGGGAGGACGAGGACGGAAAAGATGAATAGAGGGGAGACGAGGAGGATGAATCTCAAAGCAGTTACCCCGTGTGGGTTCCAGCCGCCTTCGGGAGGTGAAGGAGTCGAGCGGGCAGCGCGGCAAGAAGGTGCAGACGGTGAGCGTCAAGTTTCGGAAGTCCCTAGCCTCACTGATGGACACCGGGGACAAAACATACGCAGGCACGAACAGGTCTTCGGTACACAAGTTCGAAGATGGCGGGGCAGAGGAGAAGATCGCCAACCGCCTTTATTCTCCTTCTCCTCACATCTTTGCTCCACAGGACAAGCTGAACACCGCCCAGCCGCACTTCATCCGCTGCGTCAAGCCGAACCCTGACAAGCGGCCGTTCCAGTTCGTCTCCTCAATGGTCCAGGATCAGAGGGTTCACGGAGACAGAGAGAGAGAGGGAGAGAGAGAGAGAGGGAGGGAGAGGGAGAGAGAGAGAGAGGGAGGGGGGGAGAGACAGAGAGAGAGAGAGAGTGAAAAAGAGAGAGAGGGTGGAGGTATGGGGAGAGAGGAACAGGGATGGAGGCGAGGGGGAAGGCAGCTAGACGCGCTCGCGCCCTACCTGACGTCCTGCCCATGACACCCGTTCCGTCCAGTTACGCTGGTCGTTCCTCCATCCGCCGACGGGTGACATAGCGGACCTGAAGCCCTCAAAAGGACCCTTTTTTTGATTGCGCTACGCGCAATCAGAATAGGAGACCTGTGTACACTGGAGGGGGAGGAGGAGGAGGAGGAGGAGGAGGAGGAGGAGGAGGAGGAGGAGGAAGAAGAACAAGAGGGGGAGGAGGAAGAGGTGGCGGATGAGCAAGAGAATGAGAAGGAGGAGGAAGGTGAAGATGGGAAAGGAGGAGGCCGAGAAGGAGCAGCAGCGGCGGGAGTCGGGAGTATGAGGAGCGGGGGGGGGGGCGGAGGACCAGTGGAGGGCGGAGGAGGATAAAGGAGCGGGGCGACAGCGACGATGAAGGACTCATATCCAGACTTCTGGCCCGCGCTGGGGCGAGTGCGCCACTTTGAACCACCGGAGCAAACCGTCGATCCCGAAAGGAAGCCAGCGCTGCAGCGGGAGCACCCTTTTTTAACACGTGAAACGTGGTGTGCGAAGCAAGCATGTCCGGCATAACACCGATTGAACTCACTGGCGCTAAAACAGCATGTGGGAGAACACGGGCCCCGCTCGGACAGGATCCAGGACGAGAGGGGAGCGGTTTTCAGTTTGGGTAGGTGCAGAAGGGGAGAGAGGCGGGGGAGGTGGGTGGGCACGGGACGGCGCGGAGGAGGGAGGGAGTTGCTGGGGAGTTGGTGGGAGGGAGCTGATGGGAGGGAAGGGCGCGAGGGAGGGAGAGAAGGATGGGAGCGACGGAAGGAAGGGAGGGAGGGTTGTCAGAGGTAGGGAGGAGGAGACCCAGGAGCAGCTGGTGTACAGCGGGGTGATGGAGGCCGTTCGCATCTGGCAGCTGGGGTACAGCACGCGATTGCCCTTCGACGAGTTCGTGAGGCACTTCGAGTGCCTGGTCGACCCAGGCCCAGCCCGTCTGCTCACCCAGGGCTCGAGCTGAGCAGTGTTTTGGCGATGTCGTGGGCCGTTGTCTTTTCTGAGTTCGATTCGCAGCACAGGCAGAGAGAAGACTGAACGAAGGAAAGCGAACACGAAACGCACTGCCTAGCCCAACCCCCCCTGCGCATCATCCTCCTGCTCCTGCTGCTTCCTGGTTCCATCCCTCCCTGCCCTCCTCCGCTCTCCCCCCTCCCCTCCCCTCGTCCTCCTCCCCATCCCTCCATTTCCTCTCCCCCATCTCTCCCGCCCCTTCCCTCCCCGCTCCTCTCTCCCTCCCCTCTGCCTCCTCCTCCTCCTCCTCCTCCTCCTCCTCCTCCTCTCCTCATCCTCCTCCTCATCCTCTCTCCTCCTGCTCCTCCTCCTCCTCCTGCTCCTGCTCCCTCTTCCTCTTCCTCCTCCTCCTCCTCCTCCTCCTCCTCCTCCTCCTTCTCCTCCTCCTCCTCCTCTTCGTCCTCCTCCTCCTTCTTCTATTCCTCCTCCTCAGTATTCATTTCGCTCAAACGCAGCGTCGCTGGCACCCCATCGGGTCGTCGCCGCTGCGCCGATGCCGGGTGCGAAGCCGAGCGCGGAGCTCCGCGGCGCCGTCGAGGCCGCCCGCGGAGCTCTCCTCGCGGCCCACGCCGCCTCTGGGCTCGCGGCCGGGAGTCTCCATCGGAGACCCGCCTGCCGCGTGCGGCGGAGGGGCTGCTCCGCTACGCCGTGGCCGACATGATCGGCCCCGCAGTGGAGCGGCCCGCGCCGAAGGAGGCGGGCGCGCCGCTTGCCCCCATTACCCGCGCGGGCCGCCCCTCGGCGGCGTCGGCGTGAGCGCGGCGGGGCGGCGGGCGGTGCTAGTGGGCGCGCGCCGACGGTGGCGAAAAGGTCGATGGCCACGAGATAGAGGACGGCGCGGGGGGCGGCCGCAGGCCGCGGCGGCAGGGTCGCGCGCAGCGTGCCCTTGTGGGCCTCTCCCTCGCTGATGTCGCGGCCCGGCCTGCCGACGCTGGGCGCGAGCCTGGAAGGAGCTGAACGACGAGTGGGCGGACGGCCTCATGGTGCTGCCTGGCCGCAGCGACACGGGCCTGGACCCGCCAACGTTCGCCCTCGACACGCGCGCGCGCGCTTCCGCAGCGGGCCGATGTTGGGCATGGAGGTGGCCGTCGTCACGGTCGGGAGAGCTTCGCTTCCATCCGTTTCGGTGCGGATGACCCCTCGGCGCAGCCCATAGACGTCGCCTTGGGCATGTTGGAGCCGCTGGGACCTGGTGCTCGTCTTCGATGAGCGCCTCAACATGTCCCCTGTTCGTCGTCCGCGTCCATGCCCCCGATACAGCGAGGAAGGGCCGCACCCGTCGGTGGACGTGGTGGTGCTGTGAGGCCTCCCTATTCTGGGCCGAGGGTTTCCGTCACTCGGTCTGCTCGCATCTCCTCCTCCTCCTCCTCCTCTTCTTCCTCCTCCTCCTCCTCCTTCTCCCCCTTTTGCTCCTCCTCCTCCTCCTCCTCATCCTCATCCTCCTCCTTTGGATTCTAGTATGTGTGGCAGTCTTCATACCAACGATCAGTCTAGGCCTCGTGCTGAATTGTGTGCCTTCCTGTTGGTGGTGAGTCATACTACTGGTGAGTTTGTGTTACTCTGACTACCTGCCCCTCGTCAAGGGGCTGCGGCAGTCACGAGTTCAGATTGTGTCTAGTAGTACGGTGCTCGATCTGTGGGTTCGGATCTGGTCGGCTCTGGTGATCGCGGTCCTGGTAGGGTCGAGGTCCTTTGGGCCAGGAGCCACTCGTCGGCCCAACAGCGGGCCCAATTCGCCATCGGGGAAGAGGAGTTGTTCCTGAATTGGTGTGCTGGTTCTTTTGTGGGATGGGCCGCTGACAGAGCGGCCCCCAGTCTTGAGCAGGCTGATGCCACTCCGTTCGTTGACCGAATCACGCTCGACCGCCTGTTGGCGGTGCACATGGAGGTGGCCGGGCAGATCCCAGGAGAGCTGCTGATAGGCTCGGCCGCTCGCCCCCGCGTCCTCCCTCCCTCCTTGCGCTGCAGGTTCGGAAGTTGAGATTGCGGAGCGCTGGCCACGAGCCTAATCTAGCAGGCTCTCTCTTACGTTGCCAGGTGTGCGCAAGGAAGTTCCAGTTGAGGGGCCGCGTTCAGGACTTCTACCCTGGTCCCTGTCTCGGCCCTTCAAACCCGCTTGCGCTTTGTTGTGTGAGCACTTTGGTGCCCATGCAGGTGCCAGGCATGTCCAGAGCCTTGCCAAGCCCTGCAAGACAGACCGCCCCCCCCCCACCACCCCCCCAATGCAGGGGAAGAGGCACTGTCCGGGCTGGTTCGGGGGTTGCCCCCCCCAAAAAGTGGTGGTAAGTTCCCTTTGGCTTGAGGTATGCGATGTGCCCGTGTTTGACCTGGTCTCCACGTGTTTGCTGATCAGGTCCTCCTCCTCCTCCTCCTCCTCCTCCTCCTCCTCCTTGTCCTCCAGTTCCGCCTCCTCCTCATCATTCTCTTCCTCCTCCTCCACCTCCTTTTCCTCGTCCTCGTCCTTCTCCGCCTCCCCGTTCCTCCTCCTCCTCCTCCTCCTCTCCTCCTCCTCCTCCTCCTCCTCCTCCTCCCTCCTCCCCTCCCCGTCCCTCCTCCTCCTCCTCCTTCTCCCCCTTTTGCTCTCCTCCTCTTCTTCCTCCTCCTCCCTCTCTCTCCTCCTCCTCCTCCTCCTCCTCCTCCCTCCTCCTCCTCCTCCTCCTCCTCCTCCTCCTCCTCCTCCTCCTCCTCCTCCTCCTCCTCCTCCTCCTCCCCCGCCCCCCCCTCCTCCTCCTCCTCCTCCTCCTCCTCCTCCTCCTCCTCCTCCTCCGCCTCCTCCTCCTCCTCCTCCTCCTCCTCCCTCCTCCTCTCCTCCTCCTCCTCCTCCTCCTCCTCCTCCTCCTCCTCCTCCTCCTAGCCCCGAGGGGCTCAGAGTTGCAGACTCGGGCGGTCGCCATGTCACTCACCCATCTCGTTTTGTCTCTCCTTTGCCTGCCCCACCTCCAGTGCCGACGGGCCGCAATGTCTGCTCCCACTTCTCTTCGCGTCTTGGGATATAATCCGACGTATGCGACTGGGACTAGAATGGAAGAGATTCTTCAGGAGACGGATAACATAGATGTGCTTCTGCTGGCTGCCACTCAGGCAGGGGACCGCCTGCGCGGCGCGCAGGTGCTTCGCCGCCGTGCTGGCCGCCGCCTGCTGCTGGAGGCTCCCCACGCTCGGGAGCCGCTCAGCAACCCCAGCTGCGGTGTCGCCGTGGCGCTGGGGCCGGCCCTGTCGCTGGGGGGCGACCCCATTCGCTTGTGGGGACCACCTGAGGGAGCTGCAGGCAGGGCGGTGGGTGTGCGTGCGAAACAAGGCCCAGTGGATGTGTGTCGTATCTCTATGTACTTCCCCCCCCGTCCTGATCAGCACCATAAGAAGCAGGGGTATCTTAAGACTGTGTCGACATTAACTACGTGGTTAGATCAATTACTAAGTGAGCTACCTGTACGTTGCAGTCCTCTTATCTTGACTGACCTGAACGATGGTATCGGGGGTGGGTGGGTAGGAGGAAGCTGGCGTTCGGTATCATCACAGCACGTCGGTTCACCCACTCGTGAGCGTATCTACAACGGAGCTGGACACAGGCTTCGGCTAGTGTTGCAGAAGCACCACCTGATGGTGGCCAACGCGACCACTATGGTGGAAGACACATATTTATCTGAGAAGGGGTCCAGCCGTATTGACTACCTGTGCATCCCGATGGATATGTCGTCCCTGATTGTGTCCTGCCACCCTCTCCGACGGCTTGGAGCGAAGTTGCAGCCCATCCGTGGGCCAGCTCCACGTGACCACTTACCCCTTATACTAACCTTGACCTACAACAAGGGGGGTATTCCGAGGCAGCCGCATCGGGAACATCATCAATGGGATAGAGATCGTATGATGACTAGCTTGCGGAACGGGGGGGAGCAGGTGGGAGTTCCTGGAGGAGGTGGTGGAGGAGCTGAAGAAGGTTTCTATCTTACACTTTAGGGACTGGGCCTCCCCTGATGAGATCTTTGAGCAGCTGGAGTCATCGATTATTTCGGCGGGCGTGAAGCATTTTACTGGTTCTCGGAAAGTTCGACCTGGGTATAGCCAGGATTGTGCTGGGCGACGCGAACTACTTCGTAGGCGGGTACAAATAAGGGGTGAGAAGTTGGGGGCATCATCCGAGCAGGTCCTCTTGATAGATCAGGAGCTCAAACACCTCTCCCATACCCTCCAAAAGGAGCGTAGGCAACACCTCCGACGTCTGCAGAATGAACTCCTTACGGAAGCCGCGGAGCATTGGGGGAAGAGGCGCACAGCGGAGGCCATGGTGGCCTCGCGCAGAGCGGCCCGCTGCAGGTACGGTCCCAAGCGACGGGGCGGTCGGCTCGCAGGCTGTGCCCCTCCCTCTACAGAAGCGTGGCTGGATGTGCGGAGTCGTCCAGGGAGTGAAGGAGGCATGTTGGTGGAGGAGGCGGATTGGGAGGCGTGGAGGTCCAGTAGTGAGGAGGCTGCAGGTTACCAGTTTGTCTTCGACGACCCCGACCTTGCCGCCCTTGCTAAGCAGGATGTCCAGGACCTACGCCGGTACGTTGCCCATTGCCCTAAGCGTCGTTCGGTTCCGACGGGAACAGCGCCAGCTGAATTGTGGCATGTGCTTCTCTTTCCCAGGTGGCGCGCGCAGGCTCGCCACGGTCTCGGGCGCGCTGATCAGCCCCCCCAGGTAAAGACGTTCTGGTTCCTCTTGCATGTGGGATTCTCATAACTACGCCACCGCGGGGTCACACCGCTGCACTGGCACCTGAGTGAGGGGGCCGCTTTATTGAAGAACCAGCTTGCGGGTCCACGGGGGCGACGGGTCGCGCATGTACTTCCTACGGTTGGTAAAGGATTCGTCTTTAAGATACATGCTTCTTCCCCTACTCCTGCTGATCACGGTTTCGTTCAAGGACGGAGGAGGGAGGCGGCGGCGTTAATATCCCTCAACACATCGCG